TGCAAAAAATATAAAAAAATAAAATAAAATAAAATAAAATAGAAATAACTTAGAACACATGAGGATTAAGTGAATATAAGGAAGGGTGGTGGATTGTAAATTTGAGGGGTATTTATAATATTTTATATTTTTTGGTGGTGAATTGAGATACTTTAAGTTGGAAATAGCACCACTCGTTTTTTAATATCTAACTCTATAAGTTTTATTGCACCAACTGCCATTATATTTGTTTATCAGTCCTTAATATAATATTTATTTAGTGCTAGCCCCTGAGAAAATAAAATTCACGGATGGTATAAGTTTGGGTATATGTCCTATTTAAATTGTTTTCATCTTTTCAATATCAAATATACAGTAATTAGTAAATACCTATGTAGCACGGACGCGAAAACGGTGATACAGGGAAATGGAAAAACGGACACAAGAAATGCATATCCCAAAAACGAGAATTTGAGATTGCAATTTGGTTTATAATTATGGTGGAAATGAAAAACGGACACGGAGAAACGCATATCCCAAAAACGAGAATACGAGATTGCAATTTGGTTTTTAATTCTGCTCTTTCTTTTAATCAATGTAACAAATTTGAACCATGGCATTCTCGCATTGGTCATCCATCTAGGCCTCGTTTTGATTTTATTGCTAAGAAATCTCAAAATATTATTTCAAATAAGGATTTTATTTGTGATATTTGTCCACGTGCTAAACAGGCACGTCTTTCGTGTCCTCAACGTACATCTTGTACATCTCATTGTTTTGAATTGATTCATGTTGATAATTGGGGTCCTTTCTCTATACCCTCACAAAATGGATGACGATTCTTTTTAACTATTGTTGATGATTATTCAAGATGTACTTGGATTTATCTAATGAAACACAAATCCAAAACTTTTAACATGATAATTCATTTTTTTAATCTAATATGTCGTCAATTTAACACAAAGATTTCTCATTTCAATTCCGAAAAAGGGGATATTTTTCTTCCTCAACTTCAAACCATACGATCAGATAATGGTTCTGATTTTCTTTCCAAACAAATAAAAAAATGGTTTCATCATAATAGAATCATTCATCAACGTAGTTGTGTCGCGACCCCACAACAAAATGGCATTGTAGAACGTAAGCACCGACATCTACTTGATGTTGCAAGAGATTTGCGATTTCAAGCAAACTTGCCACTTTCGTTTTGGGGGTGAATGTATTCTAACCTCTGCATTTCTTATTAACAAACTTCCAACTCCAGTTCTTCAATATAAATCCACTCATCAAGTCTTTATGGGACATATTCCATCTTATTCCTCTCTTGAGTTTTTTGGTGTTTATGTTTTTCTAAAAATATAAATATTCAACATAAATTTGATGAACGGGCAAAAGCTAGTATTTTTGTAGGTTATCCATATGGACAAAAAGGATATCATATATACGACCTTAAAACTCGTCAAATCTACGTTTCACTGGATGTCATATTTCATGAGTCAATTTTTCCATATAATGATCTTTCAAATTCATCTTTCAAAAAATCAATTTCAATTACTTCGATCGATGATGATGGGTATTTTGACTACCCTAGACCACTCATCGATCTCCTTCCTCACCTTCTCAAGTTGATGGTTCAACTAATTCTCCATCTATTTCAAATGGTACACCATCCTCTAATCCACCTTCAACAACAATTGTCAATAATTACCCTCAACGTATTCGTCACCAACCAAAGCATCTCAATGATTATATTTGTAATCATATTTCACTATCCACTGATGTTCCACTGGTGAATTATATTTCTTTCTGTAATTTAAGTCATTCTCATCGAGCTTTCCTCACAAATGTCATTAAGAATAAAGAGTCGCGGTCATATTCTCAAGCCATAAAATCAATTGAATGACGTGATGCAACGACCGAGGAAATTCGAGCTCTAGAATCAAATAACACTTCGTCCTTATGTTGAATTCCACGTGGAAATCACCCATTTGTTGTAAATGGGTCTTCAAAATTAAATATCGATCAAATGGTTTAATTGACTGATATAAAGCTCGTTTAATTTTCAAAGGTTACACTCAAATTGAAGGAATTGATTATCATGATACCTTCGCACCTGTGGTGAAACTAGTTACTTCTATCAATTGATTCCATTAAAAGTTGTTCCATCCTCCAACTTGATGTCAACAATGCATTTCTTCATGGAGATCTGACTGAAGAGGTCTATGTAACTTCCCCTGGCTTCTCTCACAAAGGGGAGACTCGTGTATGTAAATATAATAAATATATCTATGGTCTTAAACAAGCTTCTCGTGAATGGTTCTCAAAGTTCTTGTTGGGAATCGGGCACATGTAAGCAGCGGGAAAACAAAAATATTATATGAAAAACAAATAATATTATATGAGTACGTCTTTACTCATATAAAGACGTACTCGATAATAGCAATTAATTACTTCCCTTAACGCTCCTGCGAAATTTAAATTACAACTTGCATATTAATTCGATAATTAAATCATGTAGCATGCTCGCAATAAATCATAATTCAAAGATAAACAATTTCACGAAATCATTCAAGAAAAATCATACTGCGAAAATCAACATTTAATTTAATCTAATTAAATTAAAACCTAATACAATGCGGATCCGAAAATTACCTGTCGAAGCGTGAGGCGAGTTCTCGGATTGAAACTAACTGACACGGAAACCAATCCGTGCAGTCGGGAGAAGCGGCGGCGAAACGACGACGGCGGACGTGCGGATCAGCGGCGGCGTGTGAGGTTCACCCGCTAAATTGGAGCGACGCGTGATGGCGCGTGCTGCGGCGGATCGACGGTGGCGCTTTGGCAGATCAGCTCATTTTTCTTCCTCCTCTCGGATTTTACCTCGTATACCGAAGAATAAAACAAAAGGTAATACTACCGAAGAACTATCGGCGCGTGGGCACCGATTCCGGCGACGGCGACGGCGGAGGAGAGGCGACAGACGTGAGGTGAGGTGAGAGGCTAGGGTTTGTATTGTGTATTTGTTGGGTTTTGGGCACGTGTACGCAGCGGAAAAAAAAAATTTATGCGAATTAAACGAATTTAAAGCACATAAACACATGCCCGATAATATAAATCAATTAATTGCGTACCTTTGCGCTTCCAGCGAAATAAAAAACAACATACATGCTTAAATGTTTAACTGAATTTAAACCAATTAACATGCTCGCTTTTAAACCAACTAACATGCTCGCAACGATTAAAACGATTACACATAATCACATAAAATCATTCGAAAGCAAACATGAATATTTAGTTTAAACGTAAACGAATCGAAACATGAGATTCGTGTGTTTACCTCTTGAAGCCTACGTGAGGTAGGAGCGCTAAGCAAGTCGAGATTGCTACGGAAACCAATCCGTACAATCCGGGGCAGCAGCGGTGCAGCGGCAGCAGCGGCGAGACGGCCACGGCGGCGTGTGTATCTCACGCGCGGTCTTCGGGTGGCGCGTGGGATCGCATGCGGCTTCGGCTCGTGTGTTGCTCCTTGGTTCTTCGATCTTCGATCTTCCTCCTCTCGGATTTCACCTCGTACACTTCGATCTACTAAACACGTGGCACTAGACACGTAATAGTTAGAAAAACGGAAGAAAAAGAGAAGGAAAGAAACTACCAAAGCAATCGGCCAATGAACGGCCGATTCCGGCGAGGTTCCGGCGACGGCGCCGGTGATGGCCGCGGGAGAGAGGCCGAGAGAGAGAGAGGTGAGCGGCTAGGGTTTTGATTAGGTCTTGTGTGTGTTTGCAAGGCCTATAAATCAAGTATTTATAGTCCCTTGCATAAAACCCTAACGGGCTTAAGTTGGACCGGGCCCAACAGCTTAAGCTCGTTAGTTCCTTTTACTTGCTCGTCTCTCTCAATTCAATGATCGGAAAAATGCAACGATTACAATTTCGGAATCATTATAATATCCTCGTCATTACGAGTGCCAACTCTCAATTTGTAACACCCCACCTTTCCAAAACCCGAAAACCCTAAAACCCGAAACTAATATTTCTAACTCGAGAATCCTTAGGTAATATTATTACATGATATTATGTGACTTACGTGAATAATTGCATGCGTTATTTAAATTATTTCATGATATTTATTTTGTGAAATTCGTGAGTAGATATATATGTGTGAATTATGTGATTTAGTATCATTTCCGTAAATTGAAATTTTAGGAATTTCGTGAATTACGTGACTTATGTGAATAATTACATGTCTTGATTGTTTTCGACAGGGGCGGAACCAGGATGAAAATGAAGGGGGGGCTAACTAAAATTTTAAGGTTCAAGGCAGCGCCTCGAAAAAAAATTTAGGTTCACAAAACATTGAAAAAATAAGTTTATATTACTAATTTTTAATTAAAATATCATATATATTATAATTATATCATATTTTAATCATCACACAAAATTCTAAACTAATTTAAATTATTCTAATAATGTGTTGCACTTAATATTTCGGGGCCGGATTCATGGCACGATCTCAACGCATTGATAAAAAAAATTCAAAAGTAAATAATATTTATAAATTTTATTTAAAATAATACAAGTTTTAAGCATCTTATTTTATATTTTATATTAAATATGATATATTTATCTATAATTTATATAAGATTATGAAAAATAAACAAAAAAAATAATGGATTAAGACACATATTTACAAAAATTTTGGGGGGCCAAAAGTAATATTCAAAGAATACAATACCAAATACCTAAAAAAAAATTCTTTTTTTCTTGGGGGGTCAACAGCCCCCCCCTGCCCCTTGCATGTACCGCCCCTGGTTTTCGAAATATGGTAACTTATGTGAAATATATATATAATATTATTATATATATATATATATATATATATATATATATATATATATATATATATGCATGCATGAAAATGTATAACTATATGTATGTACGTGTATATATATTACTATATATATATAGGGATCTTGCCCTTTTTTTTTATGCCTTTTCTTTCTCATTTATTTTTGGCCCAACTAATCCTCAAACGTGGTCGTTTGGTTCCATCGGTCCAATCACCATCCTCAAATCTTTTCTTTTTCTTTTATTTTTCAACCAGCTCGACCGTGACATGTGTGCTTCATTTTTACCTTTTTTTTTAATCTGCTTCTTACCATACGACGTCGTTTCTTCACCCCACCAAAAAACCTCCTCTCCGCCGGCAGCTATTGTTGACCTTCTTCCGGCCCTCCACCTCCACGTCCTGCTTCCGTCGATGTCGGCTCCCATTCACGTGTCCTCTTCTCCTCGTCCCACCGCTGCTCCTTTTTCCACCCACATAAGCTTACTCCAATTTGCCGCCGCCGTATACGGATCCTATACGCTGATTCCTGGAGAGAGATAAGCTTGAGAATTTTTTTAATTAATTATTTTTTGACGAAAATGGGGAAATATCACGATACAGAGCACCCAGTTGGGGCATTCGGGTGGGCTGGCAGAGATACTTCCGGCGTCCTTTCTCCGTTCAACTTTTCTAGAAGGTATTAATTATTATTGAAGGATTTTATTATCTCAATTGATTTTTTTTTTCAAAAACCTTCTCTAGAATTGTTTCTCCATTTCCGAGGGTTTTTTTTATTTTGATTTTGATTTTTGTTTTAATTTTTGGGGATATTTCGATTGTGTAAGAACAACGTTTATAGTATGCTTAGAGACTCATGTAAATCTGCCCCTTTTTGTTTTCGTTATTCATGACTGTTGACTACTTAATTCTGCAATCCTGTGTTAATTACTTTTCATCTCAAACGAGATTTCCGATCGTCGTCGTTTTGATACTTAAGCTAATTCTGCGGGTGTTTGCATTTTTCGTGATGCGCAGAAGGTGGTGAAGGATTTGTCGAGATATTTTAATGGAGTTCGCCGGAATGCTTTGGTGCTATCCGGAAGCAAAAGACCGTCGTCCGAGTCTTTTCGGAGCAGTGATGATCGTCTATTTAGCAATCCTGTATTAATTACTTTTCATCTCAAACGAGATTTCCGATCGTCGTCGTTTTGATAGTTAAGCTAATTCTGCGGGCGGGTGTTTGCATTTTTCGTGGTGCGCAGAAGGTGGTGAAGGATTTGTCGAGAGATTTTAATGGAGTTCGCCGGAATGCTTTCGTGCTATCCGGAAGCAAAAGCCCGTCGTCGGAGTCTTTTCGGAGCAGTGATGATCGTCTATTTAGCAATGCCAAAAGGTGATTGTTGCTTTCACCTTTCTACTGGTATTTGATTTCAATTTACTTTTTAGCTTGTGCATTTGTATAATGGGGATCGATCATTTCTTAATATCTTTCGCCTGATTTATTTATTTAATATTTTTTTTTTTAATTTACAACCTGAATTTACACATTTATCTATTTTTGGGCTTCCTTTTTCTTGCAGGTGTATGAATTGATTTTTCTTCTAGGCCTTTGGGAATTACGTTTATTTGGGTAATACTACTAATCATATTTGATTTCAATTTACTTTTTAGCTTGTGCATTTGTATAATGGGGATCGATCATTTCTTAATATCTTTCGCCTGATTTATTTATTTAATTTTTTTTTTTTTTAATTTACAACCTGAATTTACACATTTATCTATTTTTGGGCTTCCTTTTTCTTGCAGGTGTATGAATTGATTTTTCTTCTAGGCCTTTGGGAATTACGTTTATTTGGGTAATACTACTAATCAGTTCCTATATTTACCATTTAATTCGATTATTTTGCCATTTGTTTCTCTGTAATTTTTTGTCAATATTGATGTGGCTGATATTGGTTTCTTATCTTCACCGGTTATTTGTTTTGCTGAGGATTGATGAAAGATTGATTCATTGTAGACATCTACCATAGGTATCTTAACTATTACCAATAAGGCGTTTTAATTTTATTTTGATGCGTGTTCTCTCCTTCGTTATTCCTTCAATGAGGGAGTCGGATTATTTTGGTATCATATAACTGTATATATATGCCAACGGCTGTTGCCAGTATTTGAAAGTCGTTTCCTTGTATCATAATTTTTTTACTGTACTTCGGGAATTGGAATCTTCATGGCTTTGCTTTGTAGGTACTGATCGCCAAGTCAGTAGTCCTGGAATTGCTTTCTTGTGTTTCGGCTTGGTCTTGGGCTCTCTATTCATTTACAGGTTTGGCCCTTTTTTTTCCCCCGGCTCCGGCTTGCTCTTGGTCTCTCTCTGTTCATATACAGGTTTCTTGCTTGTTGGATAATTATATTATTATTTCGCTGGTGCCATTTCCTTTTGCACCTGATTTTATTCGGGCGAGTGAATTCTGAGATGGAGATGAGTTCGGCCACGTTTGTTGATGGCGCCACTCCAATGAGTAGCTTTGCGGCGACTTCGTTTCCTTTATGTCTCTTATATATATATTTTTTTTCTTACGATTTTCTTTGATTCGTTTAGGTTTTTGCATTTTTTGGATTATTTGAACTTAATGTCTTGTTGCTGTTTTGATGTTTGTACAAATTGTACGCCTCCCGATGAAAAAATTAGCGGGCATGGTATGACGGCCAGGATTTATAGAGGTAAAATTATCATCTATTTAGTGCGTTCTTGTTTCTGTTACACAATGTACTTCTTTTTATTTGTCTATTTTTCTCGGTTCCGAAATTACGGATGTTTATTGTGCTCTAAATTTTGATTATGATTCTTTTCAAAATATGGCTGCTGCTGTTGGTTTCTTCAGCAGCCACCACCAGGTTCGCTCTGATGTATTTTTTCTTCACGTCACTTTTTCCTTTGAGTTCAGTTTAATCAGGCTCTGTAAAAGGGCTCTATAATTCTTCAATTCCTTAGGTGGATCTTCACTGCCTGTTTCTTCACATTGTTGGAACTTACTGACCGCCCTTAGCTGGCTCCTGGGTCCGGTTAGCTGGTCATTATAAATAATATTCCGCAAATTTCCGGAATAAAATTCATTAAAATGGCTATTTTGATTAATGAGTACATTTGACTATTTGTGAGGATAAGTTCTTTGGTCTTCTACTCTGATGATACTCGATCACATTGAACTATAGTTTGGAGTGAACCCCATAGTCATAGGCTGAAAATGGTGTTCGTTTTGTATTATCTCTCCAGGTCGTACTTGCTGCCTTGAGCTTCAGGTTGTACTTTCACGCTGCCAAACGTTTTCGCAAGTTTCCCAACGGAAGAACACGGGTGGTTAGTTGGCAGTCCTGATACTAATAGTTTATAACTTTTTTATAGGTGTGGTAAGGGCAGGGAGTAGAAGCTGTGGAGGTCCGAGCCTGCTTGGATTTCATTCGTGGGGTTGACTACGCGCCTAATTGCCTGTAATTCTCTGCCCCATGTGGATGTTTATGCGTATGCGTTTAACTTTCCATTTCTGACTGCCAATTCATAAACATGAATAATTTCTGCATAGTTATTGGCTATTTGTGGTTTATGGAATTCGGTTTATAATTTGTATGTGTTTCTCTTTTCATTATTCATAAGTTGCTGCTTCAGTTTAGGCCCGCGATATGAATGCAGGGGGACAACGACGAATAAAATTCCTGAAATAGTGCAACAATCTTATACTGTCGTGCCCAACATTGTGCTGGCTCAAACCTAGGGATATGAATGCAAGGGATATGAATGCAGGGGAATAATGAAGAATCAAATACTTTAAATAGTGGAACAATCTTATACGGTCAAACTTGTGGAAGAATTCCGCCACAGTGAAACCAAAAAACGTTGTCAATTTGGATCGCCAATTTTTGTCGTCGAAAGTACGCGTCTTAAGGGAACATTGCCTTTCGTTTTCCTCTAAATGCACATGTTTCAATATTCGTATCGATTTAGTTATCGTACGTTCTTAATCTTTGTCAGTGTGACGTGAACTTTAACAAAAAAAAAAAAAAACTCTTTAATCAGGCGAATGGATGAACGCTGCAGCGGGATTAGCATTTACACCACATGTACTACACGTTGGAGTCAGAGAGGTAAGTTTGCTGCATTCCCTAATTAATTATCTCAATTTTATTCGGTGATCCGTCAATTTGCAGTAGTAATTTTTTTGTTGCAATTATTAATTGCTAAGTCGTGTACAGTATATTGCGGCAAAAATACTGGCATTTGCACGACAGAGACCAAAATGTGTTATGCATCATTGCAGTCCTAGATTGTCCATGTTGATTGTAAGTAATTACTTTATGGTCTTGTCCTTTTGTTCGAGCTATCATTATTTTATTTTCTGACTCGCTATTTCTAGATAAATAGTGTCGTTTTGAGATATTGTGCTTGTCCGATTCGTACTTTCTCTCGGAAAGCGGTCGGCGCCGCATTCGGACAGGTGCTGTGTAGTCCTGATGGCCATATGATTGGAGGTGCAATAGTTGGTACTGTTATTGTAGCAAACCCTGTGCAGGTATTTGGTCTATTTACTTTGTTTTTTTGTTAAAAAACGGGTTACTTTTCTTAGGCATTGTTTGGTTCATAAGATAAGATTAACTAAGATAAGAATATTACATAATGTAATGAAAATTCGATTGTATTATTGAACCAATAAATAATAATGTATTGGTCACCCTATGCCCGCCGGCGTTTTGCAGCAGGGTTTTTTTTTTCCCCAAACCGCTGCCTAAAACACAACTTTGTTTTCCAAACTTCTTTCTGCGTTCCCCTTCTTGGTCAGTGGTCGGCGGCCTATAATTTCTGGCGCCACCAGCAGCAGCTTGTCGCATCTTTGCAACGTTGTTTGATATTCGGCCGCCACCTCCTCTTTTGTTCGAATATTATCCTGCATCTTCGCCACCTAAGTTTGCTGTACAGCCCCCACCTCCTCTCTGCCAGCTGCGACTATTGACTCAATTCCTTATTCTTTCGCCATATGAAGTTCCCATGATTTTATGTAAATTTGCTGCTACGTACATTTTTTGGGCTTTCGAAGCTATTTCAAGATTGCCACTTTCTGATATTATGGGTTCCATTTTTCGTGTTTTGCTTCTTTCTTTTCGATGGGTGTTTTGTTGGAATTAATTAAATAACAAATTTTTTGGTTGTGCATAGTGAATTCTATCAGTGGGAGTGGGGTTCTGGATAACCTTTGTTTTACGTAATTTCTTTTATCATCATAATGAATTCACATTGACATTGTCTGGAGGTGTACATTTCGGCGGTTTTGCTTTGTTCGTTAACTTTAAAGAATTGATTTACTTTTTAAGCTTCAGTTGTCATATTCGGTTGCGATGGAAAGACTTCATTCAGACACGGGCACATTCTTGGTTTGTATCGGCTTTTGGTTAATTTAATTACGATGAATATTACCTTTTTTTTTTTTGTCTTCTGGAATAACTAAGTCCTTTTGCTCGTCAAATAGATTCCAGATTGTGATTGGAAGCTTATACTTCAATTTGTTTTCTTTTATTGTTTGTTGTGAATTATTCCTTATTTTTCAGTTCGAGATCGGTTTAGAGGATTCTGAATTGAAGCCCTCATTTTCATCCTCTGGAGTACCACACCAACTGGGAGGAAAGTGTTACATTTATTTTCATTATGGTCTGTTTTAAATTTCGTTGGCTATAGATAGTTCATTTGCTGATTTTACTTGTTTCGAAGAGTGTTCGCGTACTATCGGCGAGACAAGATTTGCCCCCCCCCCCCCTCCCGCCCGAAACATTGCGCCGTCCACTTGCTCTGCAACCCAATACTTTCCGCTGAAGTGCCTCCCACCAAACCGCTCCAGTTTGCCGCCTCAGACGTTTAAAGGTCCTCTGCTCTCGACCTTAACCTCGCTCCATATATTATTGTTGTCGATGGTTAATGGGAAAGATGAACTGTGCTGCTGTTTCTCTTCGGTTTACATGAACGTTCGTATTTAAAAAAAATTGTTTTCTTGCAGTAATTTTCCACTGAATTTTCTTATTAACTAGTGGACATATCGCCTGGCAGGTATGCTCATGTTGTCGTGCTCTACGTCGTGCTCTACCGGCCGCCTGCTGCATACTTACTGAAGTAAAACGTCAGTGTGTTCACAAATACAATCAGTTGCCCAATTTAATTACAGGTATAATTCCTAAATTTTTATTTTGTGCATGTGCCGAAATTCATTCACCAAAACATATGCCCTGAATATGTTGAACTTTCAGATTTTTTGACGTCTTAGTTCTTATTCAGGCTTTTGTGTTACTACCTCAGGTCTTCCCTTCAATTGGGAACTTGTGCTTCTGCTTTATGGTTGTAGGCATGGTTATGGTGATCTATTTACGTTGTTGTCGTAATTTTATACATTATTAGTACATGCACAACATCTAGCAAAGAGAATGAATTTACACTAGAGAAATATTGTACTGGGATGGTATGGTTCTATGGAGATGAATCAAATAGGCCCCAAAAAAGAAAATGGAAGAGGCCCCAAAACAAAAAATGGCGACGCTAACAAAATAGTCTTGTTTTAGTTGATTTGGATCTATCATCATCTTTTTCAGTTCACGGGTCCGTTGTCGAAGTGACCCGATGTTCTTTACAATTAATGTCAATAAAATAACTGTTATTACTCGTATGTACATTTCTTCTTGTTTTGATTGGTAATGATGCAGGTGTTTTTATGTGCCTAATTCGAGTTGCAAACTTGTTTTCCTGATATCTAGCAGTGTTTACTCATATTTAAACACTTCATTTTTTGCACAGATTAAACACTATCCATTATGTTGTCTTTTGTTTCCTTGATTGCTATTTAACAGGAGTTTCTTTCATAAAGGAACTATGAAGCAAGACTATGCAGAGGTTTCTACATGGATTTGTCTTTTTTGTGGTGAAATGGTAATTATTTTCCTTGTAAATCTTTAAGAGCTGCGATAAATAGAAATTTATATCTTTGATTGCTATTAACAGTAGTTTTATTGTCAGTGATTAGGATGTGGAATGTTCACCTCTCCACTTCTCATTATCGCGAGGTATTTTACTTTTTGTTTTTTTTCTTTTCTTCCTCATTTTGTACTGGTTGGTTTTGTAGATAAGAATGGAGCACCCCGGATTTTGTATTCGAAGCTGTTTTCCCATTCCTTTGCGGATTCGGAGCAACATCTCAACAATTTGCAATTGCCCTGTGAGTTTCATTTTCTCTCTCTCTGTTTTGTTTTTGCTTTCCCGTTGGTCATAATGTTTTTCCTTTTCTATTAATACCAATTTTCAAATTACGTGGTCAATAACAGGTTGTACATTTTAACGAGGATGCTCGTGTTCCCCACTTCAAAGGTAGCAAGCACTTCCACATAATAATTTGTTGTCTTTGTTGTTCCGTTCTTTTTGTGCGTGTGTGCTTTCCTTATCGTGGAGGAATTTGATGTTTTTTCTTGTGTTTTTTATCTACTATTTGATATACTCCAGAAAAATAACGGCAATTAAATTTCCCCACTTCGGTGTTTTTTGGGTTTCCATAACCACCATATATGCCCACAGGGTCAAGATTTTATGTCTTGCCTTCAGAAACTTATGTGAAGAGAAGAACTCCAATGGGGTGTGTTCAACCTTATTTTAATTAGAAGTTATTAATCTCAACTCAAAGATGAAGTTGTGTATTTGGACATGATATTGCCTGCTTTAGCACTGCCAAATTATGTTCTAAAGTTAGTTGTGTTAGTAGTTGTGCCTAATGAATTATCGATGTGCTACTAATATGAAATGTTCTTTTTGCTTTAACTAAAAGGCCCAATTTCCTGAACATAGCCTCGGTAGAAGCAAACCCAACTAATACGCAAGTCCTTGCTCACCGAGCCAACCTCGTCCGACACCATTTACGAGAAGGTGCCGTCGTCTCAATCATATATTGTTTCAGGAAGGCCAATTTCGGCGAGGGGAGGTGTGTATCTTCAGCCAGAGAGAACGGAAGTACCCCAACGGCGAAAGGTCAAATCAGGCCTCAAAGTCGGGATAATGGAAAGCCACTGGTATAGGATAGCACGAGGTTTTGTTTATTACAAGATATCAGAAAAACCGAGTTACTTTGGGTATTTAAGAATTTTTCTTGCTCATTGAGTAATTTTTATTTTGTTTTTGTTTTTGTTTGTTTAGCGCCTTGTCTTGCTCGTTGGCATATGGTTCTAAATAAGTACATTTCTTTATCCAATATCATTTTTTTTAGATGTATAGGAAGTTGCAGAATTAGTACATTTCTGTAACCAATAACTAGGGCTGAAAGTCGGAAGGATCGGATCGGAATTAGCCTTTTCGGAATATTTCCAAAAAATTTCGGAAGTACAAAATCAATTCCAATTCCAATACCAAAATTTTCGGAATCTAAAAATTCATTCCAATTCCAAAAGGCCCGGAAATTTCGGAATTTCGGAAATTTTTCGGAAATGACATAAGTATTAAAATTTCGGAACTTCGCTGAAAATTTCATAATTTGCTAAAAATAAAAACATCCACGTCGATAAAAATAACTACTAAATTTTAATTTAAAAAATAAATAAAAATAAACCACATCATAATATCCAATAAAACTTCTAGCAAAAATTAAATAAACTCTTTGGCTTTGTTCAAGAAATAATAAACGTAAAACTAGGGTTTTACATAAAATAAACTAGGGCTTTTTTAGGTGACATGGCCCATAAAGAATAAATACAACGAAATAATGTAAAATAATATATATATATATATATATATATATATATATATATATATATATATATATATATATATATTACTCAAAGATGTATTTTTTGGAAAAAAATCAGTTTGTTTTCGGAAAAAAATCGGAATTTTTTCGGAATTAATTTCGGAAATAATCGGATCGGAAATCGGAAATTCCATTTTTTTTTTATATAATTCCAATTCCAATCCAAAAAAATCGGAAAAAATCGGAAATCGGAATTTCGGAAATCGGAATGAAAAAAGTTGTTCCAAAATCGGAACTTTTCGGATCGGAACCGGCGGAAATCGGAATTTCCGTTCCAACTTGCACCCCTACCAATAACATAATTTTTTGAAATGTATCGGGATTTCCATAATTTTTGTTTCCGTTATGCTCTTTTATTATTTACAATTTATTCTTTGAAACTGTAATTGGTTTGCCTCGGGTGAATACAAGAACTTATCGTATTATGTATTTTCGACATACTTTCATAAATCGATTTTTAGGCTGCATATTTTTTTTTATCTATTTTTTACGATTAGGTAAAATTTGAGTGGAGCAGCTGGGAAGATGGAGTAAGTATAGGGGTGATTCTGCAATTTTCAAAATTGTGTCGGACAGGAGGTGGATTTGTTGTCTTAAATATCAACAAAGCGATCAAATTTTATGATTTACGGTTTATGAAAACTTTAAAGGTATTATATTATTTATGATAAACTTGTGATAATAAATGTGGCGAATATTTTTGATACTGAAAGTGAGATCCACTTTAGAGTCAAATTTGTGATTAGGGTGGAGCGGGGTGATTCTTCAATCTTTCCAACTGTTTTAGCCAGGGATGTGGATTTTCGGAAATTACAACTTGATTTCCACTTGGGGGGATTTCCGGTTTAAAGACTTTAAAATGGTATATAATATAGGGACCAAAATAGTAATTATAACACGTTTATTATAAATAATATAATAAATTATTGTTTACTTAAATCGTAAATCGTAAAATTTGATCGTTTTGTCGATATTTAAGATTTATTTTAACATTTGAATCGACTTAGGTATGAATAATTGAATCGTAAGATTTGAATCGTAAATCAAAAGATTTTAAACTCGGTATTGCGAATTTTCGTAAATGAGTCACACGCTATTATAGTCGAGGAGTCGAAGCATACTGCGTTGGTGGCAGATATTTCAGATATTGCAAGAGAGATCCACTTTGGTGTTAAATTTGCAATTAGGGTGGAACGGCTTGGAAGATAGAGTAAGTATAGTGGCGATTTTGCAATTTTTAAAACTGTTTCAGTTAGGGAAGTTGATTTCCAGAAATCACAAATTGACCACCACTTGGGGTGCATTTCTTGTTTAAAGACCAAAAAAAATGTATGTAATATAGGGACAAAAAATCAGAAAATTTGATCGGTTAGTTTATATTTAAGATTTATTTTAACATTTGAAGCAACATAGATATGAATGAATTGAATCGTACGACTTGAATCGTAAACCATAAGATTTTATGCTCGGTATTGCGAATTTTCGTAAATGAGTCACATACGATTATAGCTGATGAGGATTAGAAGCAAACTGCGTTGGTGGCGGATATTTCGGATATTGCAAGAGAGATCCACTTTGGGGTTAAATCTGCAATTTGGGCGGAGCTACTGGGAATATGGAGTAAGTATATGGGTGATTCTGCAATTTTCAAAACTGTTTCTGCCAGGGAGGTGGATTTCCAAAAATTACAAATTGACCCCAACTTGGGGTGGATTTCTTGTTTAAGGACCAAATTAAAAAAAAATGTGTGTAATATATAGGGACCAAAAATCGTAAAATTTGATCGATTAGTTGATATTTAAGATTCATTTTAACATTTGAATCGGCATAGATAGGAATGAATTGAATCGTAAATCATAAGATTGTATGCTCGTTATTGCGAATTTTCATAAATGTGGCGGATATTTTGGATATTGAAGGAGAGATCCACTCTTTGGGGTCAAATTTGCAATTTGGGTGGAGGGAGGTGGATTTTCGGAAATTACAAATTGACCTCCACTTGGGGGCATTTCTGGTTGAAAGACCGATATTAAAAATGGTATATAATATATGGACCAAATCTGTAATTATAACATGTTTATTATAAATAATATAATAAATTAAAGTTTTCTTCAATTGTAAATTGTACAATTTGACCGTTTTGTCAATATTTAGGATTTATTTTAATATTTGAATCGCCTTAGGTATGAATAAATTGAATCGTAAGATTTGAATCGTAAATCATAAGATTCTAAACTCGGTAATGCGAATTTTCGTAAATGAGTCACACGCGATTATAGCTGAGGAGGACTTGAAACATACTGCGTTGGTGGCAGATATTTAAGATATTGCAAGAGAGATCCACTTTGGGGTTAAATATGCAATTTGTGTGGAGAGGCTGGGAAGATGGAGTAAGTATAGGGGTGATTCTGTAATTTTAAAAAATATTTCGGCCATGGAGGTGGATTTCCAAAAATTACAAATTGACCCCCATTTGGGGTGCATTTCTGGTTTAAGGACCAAAATTAAAAATAGGTATAATAATATAGGGACCAAAAATCGTAAAATTTGATCGATTTGTTGATATTAAAGATTTATTTTAACATTTGAATCAACATAGATATGAATGAATTGAATCGTAAGATTTGAATCGTAAATCATACGATATTATGCTCGGTATTGCAAATTTTCATAAATGTGGCGGATATTTTGGATATTGAAAGAGAGATCCACTTTGGGGTCAAATTTGCAATTTGGGTGGAGCGGTTAGGAAGATTGAGTAAGTATATGGGTGATTATGCAATTCTCAGAACTGCTTCAGCTAGGGAGGTGGATTTTCGGAAATTACCAAATAACCTCCACCTGGGGGCATTTTCGATTTTAGGACCAAAACTAAAAATGGGATATAATATAGGGACCAAAATAGTAATTATAACACGTTAATTATAAATAATATAATAAATTATTGTTTTCTTAAATCGGAAATCGTAAAATTTGATCGTTTTGTCGAAATTTAAGATTTATTTTAACATTTGAATCGACTTAAGTATGAATAATTGAATCGTCAGATTTGATTCGTAAATCATAAGATTTTAAACTCCATATTGCAAATTTTCGTAAATGAGTCACCCGCGATTATAGTTGAGGAGTCGAAGCATACTACGTTGGTGGCAGATATTTCAGATATTGCAGGAGAGATCCACTTTGGTGTTAAATTTGCTATTTGGGTGAAACGACTGGGAAAATGGAATAAGTATAGCGGTGATTCTGCAATTTCCAAAATTGTTTCAGTCAAGGAAGTGGATTTCCAGAAATTACAAATTGACCCCACTTGGGGTGCATTTCTTGTTTAAGGACAAAAAAAAATGTATGTAATATAGGGACCAAAAATCGTAAAATTTGATCAATTTGTTGATAGTTAAGATTTATTTGAACATTTGAATCGACATAGATATGAATGAATTCAATCTTAAGATTTGAATCGTAAATCATAAGATTGTATGCTCGTTATTGTGAATTTTAGTAGATGTGACGGATATTTTGGATAGTGAAAGAGAGATCCACTCTTTGGAGTCAAATATGCAATTTGGGTGTAGCGGTTAGGAAGATGGAGTAAGTATAGGGTTGATTATGCAATCTTCACAACTATTTCAGCTAGGGAGGTGGATTTTCGGAAATTACAAATTAATCTCCATTTGGGGGGCATTTCCGGTTTAAGGACCAAAATTATAAATGGTATATAATATAGGGATCAAATATGTAATTATCGCAAGTTTATTATAAATAATATAATAAATTAAAATTTTCTTAAATTGTAATTCGTAAAATCTGATCGTTTTGTTGATATTTAAAATTTATTTTAACTTTTGAATCGACTTAAGTATGAACAGACTGAATCGCAAATCATAAGATTTTAAACTCGGTATTGCGAATTTTTGTAAATGAGTCACACACGATTATAACTGAGAAGGAGTCGAAGCATACTGCGTTGGTGGCGGATATTGTAAGAGAGATCCAATTTGGGGTTAAATTTGCAATTTGGGTAGTGCGGCTGGGAAGATGGAGTAAGTATATAAGTGATTCCGCAATTTTCAAAATTGTTTCAGCCAGGGAGGTGGACTTCCAAAAATTACAAATTGACCCCCACTTGGGGTTCATTTTTGGTGTAAGGATCAAAATTAAAAAAAAAAAGTATAATAATATAGGGACCAAAAATTGTAAAATTTGATCAATTTGTTGATAGTTAAGATTTATTTGAACATTTGAATCGACATAGATATGAATGAATTGAATCGTAAGATTTGAATCGTAAATCATAAGATTGTATGCTCGTTATTGCGAATTTTAGTAGATGTGACGGATATTTTGGATAGTGAAAGAGAGATCCACTCTTTGCAGTCAAATATGCAATTTGGGTGTAGCGGTTAGGAAGATGGAGTAAGTATAGGGTTGATTCTGCAATCTTCACAACTATTTCAGCCAGGGAG